GAAGCAGCTTTAGATTCTCAGTGCTGTGCTTTAACCCGCTGTGCCACCAGGGAGGGCCCGAGTTTTGTTTGTTTTTTAATGGAAAGTTAAAAAGAAATGAATGTTAATGAGATACAGGCCCTCAGTTGTTTTGTTTTTTTTTTAAACTTTTGATCCTCTTCACCCATTTCTCCCACCCCTAGCCCCTATCAACAACCAGTCTGTACATCGAAGCTCTTTTTTCTCATTCTCTTGAATTCTGCCTATAAGGAGATCATATGTTGCTTATCTTTCTCTGCTGGACTTATTTCATTTAGCATAATACCCTGTCTCATTCTCTAATATAGTTGCGTTATGATGTTTGTATGTATAACTATTATACATGTACATATATCATAACACATATGGTGGTGAATAATGATATATATGTGGTAAATAGTAGGATGCATGATATATAATATGCAATATTAATAGTATGTACTTACTATATGTGGCATATGTCTGTGTATATATTTACATAAACATATGTAAAAAGATACACATATACCACAATTTCTTTATCCATTCATCTAGTAGTTGATGTAGTAAGCTTTGAAATCCAGAAGCATGTCTCTAACTCTCTTTTCTTTTTCAAAATTGGGCCTGTTATTCTGCCTTCTTATACTTTCATATATTTTTTAGAATCAAAATTGACAAATTCTGCAGAAAAAAAAGGCAGCTGGGATTTTGATAGCAATCATATAATCTGTGGATTAATTTGGGGAGGATTGCCATCTTCATCACATAAAGTGTTTGATCTATGAACATATGATATCTCCATTTCTTAGCTCTTTAATTTCTTTCAGCAATGTTTTATTGCATTCAGAAGTCTTGCATTTCCTTTATGAAATTTATTCCTAATCTATTATATTCTTATTTCCTTAATTACAATTTCAGAACATCCTCTGCTAACAATTATTTTAGAAAATTTTTATATAAATAAAATTGATTTTTATATACTGATACTCTGCCACCTTGCTAACCTCTTTTATTAGTTCACACAGTTTCTTAGGGGATACCTTAGGATCTGAAATATATAGAAGCTCACCATCAGCAAGTGGAATTTTATTTCTTCTATTTCAATCAGGATACCTTTTATTCCTTATTTCTTCTCAAATTGTCAGGGCTAAAATGTCTACTGCAGAGTTGAATAAAGGTGGAGAGAACAAACATTTTTATGTTTTTCTTCTTGGGGGAAATTACTCATCTTTCAGTATTAAGTATGATGTTAGCTCTCAGTTCTTTTGTGGAGAAACCATTCATCAAGCAGAGGAAATTCTCTCCTATTTGTAGTTCACTGTATCAGCACCCCTTTAATAACCTGATGTCTGTGTCCCTGTTGGACAGTCAGCCCAGGTGTGCCCATAGCAAAGTGCCGGTCACATGAACGGCTCCCTAACAATTTCCGCAAGCGACAGAAAGACACTTGTCCTTTCAAGCTCATGGTCTTCCTTTGTTTTGTTCTCATCCCAACTTTTGTATATAATTTTCTTAAACCCGTCTTCCTATTCTCTCAACTGTTTCACTATTTTCTCCCCTATCCATCCCCAGGAGAACATAGTTGACATGATCTTGTAACGACCATTATAGCGTGAACTTCCTACTCTTTCAATTATTTCTCTATTTTCTTTCCCATTGGATTCCTAGGGAGCACATAGTCAACATAACCTTGTGCTAACCTCCAGCCCAGCCCTATCTACACTTTTCTATAAAGCCTGTTGCCCACCCTGCTGACCCTCTTGCCCTTTTGAAGTCAGTCAGCTTTCCTGAGACCAGGCACATTTCACTTCTCTCCAGCATTCCCTTCCGTGGCTACTGCAACATCTCAGTCCTACTCTTTTCGGAGTCTCTCCTCCTGGCTTTCACTGTCAGCCGGCATGCCAAGCCGAGGAGCACCCCCACCCCTCCTGGCTCACTGGGCTTCTGTGCAAAGAAGCAGCCACACCAATGCTGTGAGATAAGCCCTGTAGCTTCCCCCGGGCCAGGGCGACAGAAACACCTCACCGGGCCCACTTGACTTCCAGGCTACTCCCTACAAACTGCTCAAGCAGCTCCTTACTGCGTGGGCTCACCAGGCAAGTGGGTGCACTCCCATCCTGTTCCCTCACCTCCCCACATGGCTCTCCTCTGCTCCAGCGTGTGCGTGACCAGACAGCCCCTTTTCCTTCTCAAGCATCACGTCTGTTTCTTTTGCACCGACGTTGCCACATCGTGGACAAAGTTAAAACTGCTTAAAGTCATCCGGTTCGTACTTTGAGAAGTGTTGACACTGAGCGCGTTGGTGTAGTGTTGCGTTGACGAGTGCCGATGAACGGGAGCCGGGAGCGGGATGCACGAAAGAGCGAGATCCCGGCCTTTATGTTGATAGGATAATCACACGGCATTGTTGTGAGGGGAAGAGGGCAAAGGAAGAGGCGAGGGTGAGGCCGAAAATGTGCTCTGTCACCTCCAGTATCAGGCTGTGAGTCTGCCCTCCAAGTGATTCTTATCTGCTTGATGACTCGGTATTGCGATGGGGTCAAGCCTCAGACCCCCAGCCAGGGTTCCAGTCTTGTCAACAAGGAGGTCTGCTGATCAGCTTCTGGGATCCCTGTCATACATGGTCCTGAGCCCCCTGCATACCCTTCCCAGGGTGATCAAGATTTAAGCTCTTGGTTGATTTGAAAGGCAACTTGTAAGGTTTGGCCCCTATGACTGACTGACCCGGCAGTTCTGACCTCGCCTAGGAGTGCAGAACTGCAGGTAACAGAATGGTGGCCAAGCCCACTTAGGAGTGCCAGACCCACAGTATAGGCTTGCTGGACGTTGAGACTGTGTTTGGCTGATTTCACAGTCTAGAGGCTTAATACACTGCAAGCCGCACCCGCTGAGAGTTTGTCTAAGTGATGTCATGTGCTTTCATGTTGACTGGCTGTCAGTATGGTGGTGATGTGCCATATCCTAACAAAGCTAATATTTACAACAGCTTCCCACGGCACTAAAGTGGCACCTTGAGAATGGGCCAATTCCCCCTCCTCTGCCTGAAGAGGACTCTGACCTTGCTGATTTCCCAGTCTGGCTCTCACCAGGATGGGTCTGCTCCTGGTCTAGTAAGCCCACCTCTCCCTTCCTACAGGCCAAAGAAATTCTTTTTGAGACCTGGCAGGCTGAATTTTCCCCTGGTGATGTGAGAACTCCCCACCCCCAAACATACACCTGCTAACCCTCCTTTGAAAGCAAGGGTGTCTCCTTTCCAGAGCTGGTTCTTACCATGAAATGTGACCAATGGAAAACTGGAATGGCCCTCCAAGGACATAAGCCAGGAAGCAGAAAGAGTTGGAATTCAGGATGCCAGAGGCCTGGCGCCATACCCTTTCCTAGCTAGGGAAATCTAGGGACAGGGCTGTGTAGCAGGAAAGGATGGGCAGGAGCCCAGCAGGGCACAAGGGGGCAGGCTTTGCAGAAAAGGAAACAGTCATTTTATAGCATCGCTTAACCAAGGGAAGTTAGTGTTTAGGGCGGTTTTGAATTTCTGTTGGAGAGTTTTGGAAGAATTATTAGGATAATGAAATTGACTAAGATGATTTTTGAAAATGAGGTAATTATTATCTCCTGGATGAATAAAGACTTCTGTGAGAAAGAAATGTGATCCTAAAAGTATTTCTTCACTCAGCAGTGAATAGTGCATACATAATTATAAAAAAAAATGAATATTGATCTAACAAAAAAATGTGAAGTAAATATTTTCAAGAATAGAAGGAGAGAAGATAAAGGTCTGGAGCAACCACCCCATCTGCTGACATCAGGAGTCCCGGGCATTAACGCAGACCAGTCAGGGCTAACCGTGCAGACACACACACTGCCCATGGACAGGAAGGACACGTCAGGGAGAGGTCTGCAGGAGGAACTTAGGAGAGGAATGTCACAGCCGACTGTGTTTTTCCTTCATGTCTTTTAGTGCTGTTTGAATGTTTCATTATGTGCCTTAGGCTGCATTATTTTAAGTAAGCAAACTAGCAAAAATACACCTAAGATACAAGAGTTTACAATTCAAGAAAAGCAGAGGAGGCAGAGAAGAGCTGAGGCTTCTCAACCACACAGACAGGAAAGTTGACTGCTGTTGGAGGGAAGTGTCCATGCAAGAATGTCGCTTGGATCCATGACGTGCGCGTGAGAGAAACCTCTCTTGACTCTCAGCTGGAACAGAGGCGAAGCTGCCCCTGGTCTGTGCTTCCATCTGCATGGAGTTTGAGGGGATGTGTGGCCCCCCACTCCCCTCCACTTTGCTGCGGGCACTCAGGTGCTGAGGGGGGCTGTGTTTGGACTCCGACCTAGCAGCGGGGGTAGGTAGGGGACCTCTGAGGAATTTTTGTGGAATGGGCAAAAACAGTCTCGTCCTGGGGGGGGGGGGGGGGGGGGAAAGGGGGGGGGAGGGCGGGGGTGGTTCAGTCCTGCCAGCAGGGGGTACCTGTGCCCCCTCTGCTGTCTCCTGGTCTCCGGCCTCTGCAGGCTGATGCGTCACTCAGAGGAAGGCAAGTCTTTACTCTGCCGGGGCCTCCTGCATTTGAGCATCTTTGTCTTTCTCCAAGGCGAGTGCTTAGTGATCTCTCAAGAATCTGGCTCTGACCCCAACAGGTCCTCTTGCTCCGTGCCTGCCCCCCAAGTTTGCTTGGACTGCCCGAGACGTCAAAGCCGCCACTGAGGAGTCTCGGCTGAGTCCGCTGGAAGAGACATGGAACATTTGCAGGACTCTGATTATCTCCAGTGTCTGGATCCTGATTGTCCTCTAATCAAATGACAAAATAAAACATACGCCCTGTGGCCTTAGCTGGGTGGCAAGCAGGGTTATGCAGGGTCTTAGTTCTGCATAAGAAAAAAAATACATTTGGGAAGAAGTCAGTCGGGACAGGCACTGCCCTCCACCCATACCCATAAAGTGGACATCTAGGATCGCCCAGGTCTCTGACCCACATGAGCACCGAAGTGATTCTAGGGGCTCATCAGCCAGGCCTCACTGTGGAGAACGCGTGGCTTGAGCGCTCATGTGGGAAGCAGCTCCCCCTGAGGAATCCTTGCAGTGCTCATGCCGAGAGCACAGAGACTGTGCGGGGAGTTTTCTGAGCAGACACCTCGGGATGTGGAGGGTGTGGGCAGAGCCACCAGGCACCCACACTGAAGAACAAGGTCAGCGCCATCAGTGGACACAGCATAGTACAAGGAACGAACACAGTCAACTAACAGGTGCCCCACAGGATGCGCAGGTAGACTAGCGGTGCAGGGGGACGGTCCCCGGGGCCCGTGCTTGGTTGGCCGGGGTCCATGGCGGTGGCTGGCAGCATGGGTGGACAGGTGGACGGAGGTACTGCCTGCAGAGCCTGAATCTGGGACTGCTGGTCGCCCTGTTAGGCAAGATCTCCTCGTCCAGGTCAGCGTCAACTCCGTTACAAGGGGGAAGTCCCAGAGAATGAATGAGCATGTCCGCGGGAATCAGAGGCGACTTCCACCCAGATGTCTGCACTCAACCGCCTCACCCCGGGCTCCTCCTGGACCTGCTGGGGCCCTGGAGGACAAGGATGCTGCTGGCCTAGGCCCGAGCAGCCCAGCCAGCCAGGCCGCCTCCGCCCTGGGCAGCTCCCCGTGCACAGAGCAGCTCCCGTCCCACAGGGCTTCGCTCAGGCACCAGCCTCTGCTGCTCTCTGTAACATGACCCGAGAGGGGAGGCTGGTAATACCCACAAGCTGACTCTCAGCTGCCTGAGGCCAGAGGGCTCAGGGCGGCTCCCTGCTTGGGGCCGGGGAATTGTCCTTTTCCCCCTCCCCCAAAAGGAGAGAAGAGCTTGACTACTGGACTTGCTCTCTGCCCCACCCCGTGCAGAGCAGACAGGCCAGCTTGTGCCTAGACAGGGCTCCCACATCCTTCACCCCGTCAGGAAAGGCCCCCAAAGCAGGGCCGAGGACTCCAGACACCCTGACCGCCCACTTCTTACCGGTGGTGTATGTCTGGAATAAGGTGGTGGGCAAGCAGCACAGCCAGTGCCAGAGGGCAGAGGGCGCTGACCACGAGGCCTCATCACGAGTCTCACCTGCCCTCGGGCTCCCCAGAACTTCTTAGCAGCAGCTGCTCCCCACAAGGGAAGCAGGAGGCCACACCTTACCCACTTTTCGGTGAGGCCTTAGGGCCCAGAGATGGGGCGGCCACCCCAGTTGCAGTAAACTCAGTGACCCTGTGTTCTGCAGCAGCTGGGCCTTAGGCTGGCCCTAGGTGAGCAGAGAAGAGCCTGGGTTCGCTTCCCCAGAGCTGGGGGTTAGTCTGGTGGGGGTGAGGGTAAAATCTGAAAGCCTGTGTGCATACACACACACATGCACCCCCAGAGAGGTCCACCCCAGAAAGCCCTGCCCAGTAGTTGAGTCAGCCCTGATTGTCTTCAGAACAGATACGGGTCCCTTTGCCCCACTCGGTTCTTGCCACTGTAGGCCCAAGGGGACAGAAGAAGATTCACACGGGAAATCCCAGGGGCTGTCACCCCTCTCCCTCCCTTCACTCCCCCAACGGCCCTGACCTAAGAGAATCCATGAAGATGCTCAAACGCGGCCACTCAACTCAATGGGGGAGGGGGCGTCAACGAACCACTTAAAATACTAAATTTCATCTAACCACCAGTTAGGAGGAGTGGGAAAAGAGAAGGGGGAGAGGGTGTGGCAGAGAAGAAATGGTAAGGAAGAACAGGGGTTATAACTGGCAGCATCCAGCCAGGAAAACAAGCCACTCAAGGTATTCCAGGAGGGAGGTATTTAATACAGGGGATAAGGAACTCATCAAGGAGTCAGGCTGCGGAAGAGGAAAGGCCAGAGAAGGTGGCGAACACTCCCAGGTCACCACTAGCTTTCTGGGAACCAAGACCTGCCATGACCTCTGTAGCCAGACATTGCAGGAGGCCTCAGGAATGGCCGTCACCCGCCGCCCTGGGGCGAGCCGCCGGGCAAAGCTCACACTGAGCCCATGTCTGTCCCCTGCTAAGGAAGAATCCTTTGGCTCTGCCTCGCTCTGTCTCCCCAGTGTCACCTATGTGCATCTCCTTGGTGGGACTCGGGGGCTTCTGGAGCTCACCAGCTTGCAGGCCCTCCTCAGGGGAGAGAGGACAGAGGGGAGCATGATGTCAGGCCCAGCAGGTAAGAGGCCACCAAGAAAAGAGGAAAATGCAGGGAGAGAGGGAGAGACACCTGAGAGGCCACTGCTGGGCAGAAGACAATTCAGATAAGGCAGGGCAGGGACAAATCACAGCGGGCCCAGAGGACGGGAGAAGGCAGGAGATTTAATGGAAGGTCGAAGCCCAGGGCGGGGAGGTCGTCTGGGCCAATCACCTGATATTCCGTGAAAACACAGACTTGCCGGCACTGACCCCTTGACCGTTGTAGTTGCAAACCCTTTAGCGTCATGACTCTCAAAGCTTGTTGTGCATGAAATATGCCCCAAAATAGATTTTTTAAAAAGCTTGAACGATTCCGACCCAGAGAATCTAGGGTCCGGCCTGGCGATCGGCACTTTAGAGGCGCCCCGAGGGGTCCCTGAGGTCCTGGGGGACCTTCTGGGAATCTGCTTGTTCCCCTCCAGCTGGGTGGGTGCGCAGGGCCGCAGGCGGGTAGCCCCGAGAATGGGGGCGAGTTCCAGCTTAAGGGCTGCCCGCCAGCCTGCCCGGGAGCTGGCCGAAGCCCTTCCTGCCGCCCCTGCGCTATTCCCCTTCCTTCCCAGCTTCCAGAGAACTGATGTCCTAGTTAATTTTTACCTCCAAATAAGCTAATTAAGCAATAATCCTAGCAGAATCCATCACTCTGACAAGGTTGTTGATTAACCACCCCCCAGTCAAGCCAAAAGTGCTTAATATCCCAGCGGAATGTCAATAATGAGTGCCACGGCAGCCCTGGGCAATGTCGGAGACAGGTGCAGAATGGGTAATGGCAGTGTCGGAGGCAGGTGCAGAATGGGGAAGGGGGCCCGACTTTGCGGCTGGCTGGAGCGGGGAGGAGGGAGGGTGCCCTCGGGGGCCCCGGCGCGGGCCTGGCCAGCCCGATCCATTCTACATCTTTCTTTCGGAGACTGCCGAATGCCCCTGGAGGGTTTCTAAAGCTATGAGCAGCCTTGGACCTTGGGAGAGGAAGGTCTGTGGAGTTGGACCGGGAGAAAATGCCCGAAGTTCACAGCTGTGGCAATTCTGTGGCCGCCAGCATCAGAGCGAGGCCGAACAGAAAAATGACTGCCTTGGAGAGAGCAATTTCAAGTGCAGTCTAATATGTCTTTCTCTTTTCCACAACACCCCACCGTTCCCTTCAAAGATTTGCTTTCTCGGTGCGTGGAGCATAGGCGCCCTGACTACGCAGGGCGTGGTGAAACACTGCCCCCTGGTGGTCACAGTGGCTGAAGCATCTCCACCTTCCGAAGGATCCCGCCTGGGCCGGGAGCCGGAGCCTCCGGCCAGCCCCGCCGGTGCGCGCCCTCTGGCGGCGTTCCCTGGAAGTGCTGTCATCGGTTAGATTTCGTCTGTGTCTGCGCCCTGGTCTCTCTGCCCCCTCTGCCCCCCCCCCTTTTTTTTTACATAGTTATTGACCTTGGCAAATACTCTGACCCCAGGAGAAGAAAACAGACTCCAGTTCAGTTACTGATTTGATTACTGACATACGATGCCACCTTATATCTTTAAGGGTTTCCAATTATTTTCAGGCACATGGAAAATAAAAACCACCTCACTGTGCTTACTCATGTGAACATGGGTGAGTGGACATATATGTGGTGATGCCAGGGCCGTGAGGTGCTGAGCCGGGACTGGGGCCAAGGTTCTTTCTGAGCCTCCTCTTTTAAAATGGAGGACTGAATTCAAAGATCACTGAAGTCCCTTGCAAGTCACAAACTTGGGGAGCCCTGGGGATTCTAATTAGAAATTGCTAAGTGGCAGCAATCGGCTAGGGGGAGAAAAGTGCCTCTAGTCAAGCAGCAACAGCTCTTACCGGGGTGCACTTTCAGGGAGAGTAAGTCAAAAGGGCCCCGGCCCACCCCACCTAGGCGTTGCCGCTCCTTTTAGGACATTGGAAATCCAAAAGCCTCTTCATTTACCCGGAATTGGCCTTGGCAAAACTTAGACCTGAGGAGGCCTCAGGGATGGTGGTGAGACAGTGACATCTAGCGGCCATCGTCTCCAGCAGCCAATCCCGCCTCAGCTCTGGGGCGTCTCCATCCTCCCCAAGGCTCCGTGGGCGGTAATAGCCCAGAAGCTATGTGGGCGGTGGGTTATCACCTCAGTCTGAAACTGCTTGTCAGTCTGACCTAAGCTCAGTTAGGTAGGACACGCAAATCCTCCTTTCCAGCTTCCTGGTCTTCAGGGATGCCAAGCCTGTATGTGGGCAGGGTGCCCCCACCTGGAGGGAGCCCGCCTGCACAGTCCTGCCACCCTGAGTGAGACCAGACCACAGCCGGACAGGGATGCAGATAGCCAGCAGATGACCAGCTGCCGCTCAGGAAGAGTGAGCAGCCAGAAGGCAGCCTTGTGTTGGGGGCTCCCTGGCTTCACCTCTTTGGGTACCAGGGCCGTGTCCCCCTGGTAGTCTGCCGGGCTCGTGTATCCCCAAGAACAACTCAGATGGGTTCTAGTTAACACACTGGACCTCCAACAGTCCACGAAGGGGAGCCTCAGAGCCCCCCAGGACCCAGGTGCCAGAGTAGCAGGGCTGGGCCCTCAGAGGCTGAGCATGCTGGTCCCGTGTTACTCTTCTCCTGGAGTAACCAGGCTTCCTGTCTCTCGAGTCGTGTTCCCTTCCCCTAATTTTAGTCTGTGTTC